TTTTATCTATGTGGAAAACCAATAATGAAAAGTTAAGGAGTGATAAGCCCAAAATTCAGAGTGATGGTTACCTCTCAGGAGGGGTTGTTAAACTTATACATGTTACAAAGATTCTTTGTATAAGTTAAATATTTAATGAAGTCATGTTTTGGAAGATATGCCAGTGTTAGAAGGATGACTCAGCAAATACTAATAAAAATAACCTATAGGGCTTCCCTGGTGGCGCAGTGGTTGAGAGTCCGCCTGCCGATGCAGGGGACACGGGTTCGTGCCCCGGTCTGGGAGGATCCCACATGCCGTGCAGCGGCTGGGCCCGTGAGCCACGGCCGCTGAGCCTGCGCGTCCGGAGCCTGTGCTCCGCAACGGGAGGGGCCGTGGCACTGAGAGGCCCGCGTACCGCAAAAAAAACAAACAAACATATAACCTAATAGGACTAAGTAGCTGTACTAATCAGTTGGCATCAGACAGACCTGTGTTCAAATTCCTACTGCAGATTCAGCAGCCATACAGCCTTGAACAAGTGACACAGTTCCCCGATTTAGAAAAAGGGGGAAAATCATGGTATCCTTCAAGTTGGAGTTGGGTTAAATGGCAAAATGCCTGTTGAAGAGGTCAGAGGCGTTGGGCAAAGAGAATAACTGCTCCCATTCAGATCACTGACCACATGCCAGGAGCCCTCGGAAGTACCTTACAGGCACAATCCCACTGAATTATCTCAAGGTCATATAGTAATAAACAAAGGAGATAGGATTTGAACCCATAGACAGTCTGACTCCGGTGCTAGGCTAGTAACCATCATGCTACTCTTTCTGTCTGATAAAACTCCTATATTATTATTAACGGTGTTGCTTACCACCATAACTATTCACGGTTTAAAAAAATTAGGTTTAAAAATTACCTATACGTGGCTAAGATGAGACTACTTGACACAAAGAACCCAAAGATGTAGAAAGCCGGGTGGCCACTGTGATCCAACATTGTCACGCGACTCTCAGAAATTCCAGTACATTCAACTCCACGCACAGGATAGGAACCGAGCTCGATCAAAGAGGCAACCGTCTTTCCCAGCCCTCCCCTAACCCGAACCCTGGCCAGTTAACCTGGGATAATACATCCAGTTCTAAGCACCACATCTTAAAAGAACAGACACACTACAGATTGGTTTGGACAACGACCTGGTACCCACGTCCTTTCACAAACAGTAGAAGGATCCTGGGATACTCAGCTTTTAACACAAATTTTAGGGATTTTCCTAGGGAAGGAGTACAGATTTACTCACGTGTGCACCCTCTGGGTCAATCAGTGCATAGAATATGGTTGCTTTCCTTCTGGAACAAAGAATTTACGAACAATCAAGGAATCGGGAACAAACGTCTAGCCCCCAAGACGGCCCAGAGGCCACAGACCGCAGAGGGCCTGAGGGCTGGATGCATCACCTCTGAGGTTTCCTCCACCTTTACGGTTTTGTGATCCTGAAAATACAATCCTTCCATAAACAGCAGTCAGGGCCCTTTGGGGAGGGCACCGCCCACCGCGGACGCCCTCGGGTCATCACTTGGTTAAATCTCTTCTGACTCTGCTGAGCCCCAGTCACCTCCCAGTGTCCACATCCTCGTGACCACAGGTGGGACAGGCCACACAACTCCGGGCTTTGCAGAGCAAGGACAAGGAGAAGAGACTGGAACAAATGCACCTGCTCGCTTGCTGAACCAGACGTCCAGTTTTAAGTTCCCGCAAGACTTGACTTAGGAAACCGGTGTGAACTCAGCTGCCCCAAGAACGAGACAGCACGGTGCTTCCACGGGGACCCCAGACCGCACTTCAGCAGACTTAACCGGGCATCGAACCACACGTACCCAGGCCCCGGTGGGAGACGCCTGCAACGTTGTTACTGAGTCTGAAGGATTTCATGACAAAGGGTTTGAGAGACTGCTAGCCATTTTTTTTTCTTGTTTCTGGAACAACCAGCAAAGCCATCTGTCTCAGAAATAGGCCTGCTGCTTTATTCCTGAGTCCCTGCCTGTTCGGGGGCAGGGAGGCTGTGAGGACCTGACAGTACAGTCAGTTTAGAAACAAAACAAGTGAAGAGGAGAGGATAGGGTGGGTGAGGGCAGGAGCTGGAAGAACAAGGGCTCTGCTTCCAGGAAACCGAGTACATGTCACTGGGGGGCTTGTCCCCCAGGATGCCCCGTGCACGCCGAGTCCCAGGCATCCTGGCAATTTCAGTGATATTAATGGTCCCTCTCTAATCCTTATACACATTTTAAACATCCAGAAATGGAAACCCAGCAAAGGGTGGCACCTTTCACACCACAGCAGCTCCAACAGGACCACCCAAAGGCCATTTCATTCTCTAGGAGAATGTGCCTTATTTTGACGTGCTATTTTGTGCTGATCTGGTAAGTTACAGATTAATTTGCAGATTACCTGTGGCCAGTAGAGATGCAGATCATTTCTGCCATGCAGAAAAGATAAACACAAAGGTCACGGTTTTACTGCCTGTAAGGCATTAACTGGTCTTGTCTCCAACTTAGCAAACCTTTCAGCCCTTCCTGCCAGACGGTCTAATGCTCTGATCCCCAGCACCTCCCCCCCCACAGCACCCTGCCCTCACTCACCAGCTAGATGTCTTTCACACAAGCTCACAATGGATCTGTGGGCTAGTCATGTTTTAACACTTTGAAAATTGTACCTTGATACATTTAATCTATACTCAGTCACCACTGTCCCATTACTCTCTTCATCTTTATAATCTTCTGCTGAGTCTGTGTTATGTCACAGTTTTTGTCACTGTTATCATATACTCAACTGTTTTATAATACAAAAACCTACTGTATAGTACAGAGAACTATATTCAGTATGTATTTTGTAATAACCTATAAGGGAAAAGACTCTGAAAAAGAATACACACACACACACACACACACACACACACATACATATATGTATAACTGAATCACTTTGCTGTGCACCTGAAACTAACACAACAATGTAAATCAACTATACATCAATTTTTTAAAATCTAGATTAAAAAAAAGAAAAGAAATCCTTCAAGAAAAAAATTAGGGATAACATCTCTATACTTCTTTATCCCTAGTTCAGCGACCAATAAACATTTATTAAATAAATGAATGGCGTGGAGTAAAAATGTGTTCTATGTAAACTGGAGCATTGTTTAGTGTGCTGTGGAAAGGTGCAGCTATTTTTATTTGATCTTTTGTTTTTTAAGACTTGGTTTTATAGTAAGATAAATGTCAGTTATCTATTCTGTGACCATCACGAGACAGAATGTAAACTCCGCGACTGTTAAAGACCGGAGTTGACAGCTCACAGTGACGTTCGCTGGCGAAGGACCTCTTGACGCCAAGCCTTCACCCTGTTGGAGCGAGTGTGTCTTCCAGCTCACCACTGTTACGGGGGCTTCACAGGAAACACCGGAGAGGTACTGACCATGACACCCCCTCACCACATTTGAGTAACACAGGAAGCTCTTGGAAATACTACCCCAGACCCCTTAAGGTGTCTTGAAAACCCTGCATGAAATTAAGTACCGCCACTTTAGTTGAATTTCTTGGCACCAAGAAATTAAATTCAAATGCAAACAGAGGCGATAAAATTAAGTTGCAGTTTCCCCTATACAGTGGTCATTCAGATAATATAGAAAATAATTAATTTTCAATATTTGCATTAAAGAAGACACAAAATTTTCAAATTATCACAGTACCTCAGGACACAGCCCCGGTCCTACAGAGAGCTACTTGCCATTAATCCAAAATATCATGTAAGCTAACACAGTCAGCCTTTCTCCTTAAACCTTTCTGGCCAACTTGTTAACAGGTGTTAATATGTACCTACATTAACCAGTTTAACTTCTCCCACGTTCCCTCCTATCCCCAGGGAAGTGAAACTAGATATTGTTGAAGTGAAACCAACACATCAGTTGCTTGGAAGACAAAGAAAGAAAGAGAAACCAAAATCCTAGAAAACCCACCTCACAGATAATCAGTGCCTGAATAATTAGGAGTTTGCTAGAATACTGTATTGTTCTCGACAATAACAAGTGTTGACAAAGATGTGGAGAAATCAGAGCCCTCTTACACTGCAGATGGGGATGTAAAATGGTGCAGCCACTTTAGAAAGCAGTTGGGCAGTTCCTCAAAAAATATGAAATACAAAGTTATCATACGGCCCAGCAATTCCACTCCTAGGTATCTACCCAAGAGAATCGCAAACATGTCTACACAAAGACTTGTGCATGAATGTTTATAGCAACATTATTCCCAAGAGTTAAAAAATTGGAAACAAACCACATGTCCACCCACTGATGCACGAATAAACCAAATATAATGTACTCATAGATCTGAACACTATTTGGCCACAAGAAGATGCACTAACACATACTACACGGGGATGAACACCGAAAATATTATCCTAAGTGAAAGAGGACAGTCTCCACAGCCCATATACTATGTGATCCCATTTCTATGAAATGTCAACAACAGGCAAGTCCATGGAGACTGAAAGCAGACCAGTGATTGCCAGAGGCTGGCGCTGGAGGGAGGGGATGCGGAAACTTTCAGAAAGCTACACTGCCTTCTTCCCACAAATTTAGCCGTAATTCACCCTTACAAGGTGCACTGGTTTACCTCCTGCTCCAACAGGCAAACGTCCTGCAGCTGTCCTTGGACAGTACAGACAAAATCATTGACTCACGCCCAGCCGGTGAAGTCAACACTCCACATACCTTAAGCAGGGAGAATTTTTAAACAGCATACAAGTGATTCGGCCACAGAAGAAACCCAACTTAGCACAGTGGCCAACTCGGTCTGAATATCACCGATGCAGTCACCAAAGGACCACAGTTCGAAAACGGTCACAGGTTAAGAAGATGTGAAGTAACGATCTTTTCAAAAGTCACGTGAGGGGGAGCTTGGATGAAAAAACCAGCGATCCAATGCCATGGTCCGTGAACGACTCAGATGTCCACAAGAAACAACTACCGCAACATCCAGAGCCGCGTCCCCCCCGCCGGCCACGTCCCGACTCTCGCAGGGCTGCTCCGCCTCCAGCAAAGGGCCCGGACTCTTCCTCTCCAGGTCCTGCCCTGTTCTTGCGGGCCAGAAGGGAAAGAGAAATCTCACCGTGATGTCAGCTACATGAGCTTTCCTTTCTTTTCTTTAAAAAAAAATTCCTGTTCTGAATGACAAAAGTTCAGGACACCTAGAAATGCACATTTAAACCACCGCGTCTACGGGCACTCACCCGACATAACGTGCATTTCAGCTCCGTGTACAACTGGGGTCTCACCACTCTAGAATCTGTTCTTCGAGGACCCTCTCCATGTTCGGGGGAAGCTGCCAGAGCCCACGTAACCAGAGGCAGCGAAGACCCACGAGGCGCCGTCGGGGCCTAAAACGTGGGCCTGTACGTGGGAAGATGGACCAGACGCTCGCACAGCTGAGACGCCCACACTCTCTTCTCCAATTCCCGCCCCTCTCTTGTGTTCCTACAGTCCTCAGGACCCTTCCCATCTGGACTTCTCTCAACGGATCCCCGTTTCCTGATGACTCATCTCACCTCGCTGCTCGGAAACGCTACGAGGGACCAGGCTGCATAAGCCCTGCCCGTCGCTGTAGGTCCATCACCCAGCACGCGTCTGCGTGCGGAGCCCTCGACAGAGGACTGTCCGCGGGTGAACTGCTGCACGTTTAACCCTGCCGCTGCCTCGCTGCATTTGGAAACTGCTCTTGCTATACCACTGCCGACGTGCTACTGCCCGGCACCAAATCAAAAGCGCCCTCCCCACCCCCCACCCGACTGCCCTGCAGCCGGGGACGCCATGACCCCCCACTCTTCCCCACGCTCCTGGGACACCCCGGCCGCTGCTCCACCCGGCGCCGCTCCCCGTCTATCCATCTCCCATCGGCTGCCCTTTGCTGCACAAGGGGGTTTCTCCAGCTCCGTGTGCCCGAGGGACCACTCACCGCCCCCGCTTCCCTGCTCGGGGATGAACTCTCCTAAGAACCAGGAGCATCTCCACCAGGACCCACGGCCTCTTCTCAGCAGCCCCCGAGACAAGGAAACCTCCAGCGTCTCCTGCTAGCGCTGCCCGTCCTCCCCGCTGTCCACACCCATGGCTTGAGAACACCCCACGTCCCGCCGTGTCCTCACCTGTCTCCCGCCCTCACGCCCAGGTCTGTGTCCATGTCCACATCCACACCCCCTGCCTCGGGCTGTGGGGCTTCTCACCGAGAGCTGTGATCATTTTCCTGCTCCCCATCCATTCTGCACGCAATGCCATGTCCTCGGGGAAAGGTCCTGAAGTGTGTCCCGTCACAGCCAGCACCTTCCACGCTCCCGCCTCTTCCCGGGTCGAAAGTCAACCTCCCCAGCCGGGTCCTCAGGCCCTCATCGCTCACAGCCGCCCTGACTCACACCGACTTTCATAAACCGTAAGGAAGTCCCAGGACGTGCGAGGCTCCGAGCCGGGTGTTCAGGGAGCAGCAGGAAGGACAGGACGCTCTCATCCGGCCCCGTGCGGACGCTCGGGGCCTCAGTCCGCCCGCGTCTCCGCAGGTCTGCGCTGTCCCACGCGCACGGAGGCCTCCGTGGCCACGGAGCCTCTCAAAATCCGCTGAGACCCGCCTCCCGTGCCTCTCTTCCCCAGCCACACCCTCCGCGCTCCCCATCGCCCCACCATGGCCCGGCAGTGGGCAGACCAACTCCGTCCCCTGGAGCCCGAGGCAGGGGACACGGCGCTGAGAGCCGGTGGCTGGGCTCTGCCGCCACATCAGACGTGCACAGAGCTGGTTCCTGACTCAGAAGAGACCCCGGTGTCCCAGGATGTGCGGAGTGAGTGAACGGCTGGAGCTGACGGGGAGGAGGGCCCCAGAGCCCCACACGCGGAAGGACGTGCCCTCAGTGCGCTGCGGAGCGGCGGCGAGGCAGAGCCAGGCGGGCAGGTGCACGGCCACCAAGCAGAGCTTCGAGTACGCCGATCGACAGGTCATGGCTGCAGAGAACCCAGGAGTACCGAGAAAAGGCCGTCGATTTGAAAATTCGGAGGTCACCATTTAACTTGGAGTGTACTTTCACTACCTGGATGACGAACATCAAATTACATCGACGAGAAGCAAACGCAGGGGGAGGAGACAGGCGGCTGTTCTCCATGCCTCTGTCAAACCTCTGTAGCAGGAGGCCGCAGGGACACTGGCAGCACGGCTGGCTAGGACCAGAGGCAGCTGCGGCCACTCAGAAAGGCAGCCACCGGACCCTCGGGGGCCACAGTGAGCTCAGTGGCCTCTGGACATGGCCCCCGCACACCCTGAGTTGGCCTGGCACTCTCCCCTTTCTTGGGACAGTGAAGGAATTCATGGGTCTGAAAGCCTGGGAGCCTGTGACCAGTGACAGCACAGGCGACGCTGCTTTGAAAAAAGGAGTTTGCTGCCAAAGTGTCACAATGTAGAGCTCGGCGTCTGCTGGAAGGGCCTCCCGAAGGAAAAGGATTAATAAAAAGCTCTTTGTTGATTCTGCCCCGTTTGCACAAACCCGCTCCTACCCATCTGACCCACACCAAGGCCCTTTTAAATGAACAGCAGACGAAGTGTGACTCTGTGGAAATGAAATCGCTTTCTTGATAAATTAGCCAATTAGAACTTCCCAGGACTCAACAGAAGCCAAAGGCACTATGATTTCCTACCCTATCTCTTGGAATTGCTTTCTTTTTCTCTCCATTTGATGGATTTTTTCCAATAGTTCTGTTGCCCATTTCAAACAAATTGCCCCGTGGAGCCCTTCTCTCTAAAACCTGTGTTTTCCATGCAGAAAATTAATGTGCCCACTCAATTACTGTGCTTTGCTTTCACTTCCTGAAATTTAAGGCTGCAAAATCCTGAAAGGTAACTTCTCTCTAGCTAGGGGGCTGGGCACAGCGGCCTGACTCAGACCCTGATGCCAACCGAGAATCATTTCTGCTGGAGCCTTAAGTCAGGACGCGTTGTTGAGCTTCCGCCTGTGTGCAAGTCTGGGGCTCTGGGGCACCGGGGCATCACCTTTGCTGGGCTGTTGCCGCCGCTCGTCCA